TGTATATATAAGTACAATTTTCTCATTACTATTATACTCAAATATATAAAATTTCTTATTTCGTACATTATTTTGAAAACAAAATAGTGCTTTACTATAATAATACAAATTAATAGATAGATGAGTAACGGTAATATATCGATATGATTTCTTAGTAATAATTAATTAATTTTCAATGTATATAAGCATATCACAATTCGCGAGATATTCATACTTAATTAATAGATAATCATATAATCAAATTTAAATCATGTTGCTCAAGTGATATCTCATTCAACGTGAAAATAAATGGAATGGGTTTTAGCATTATACAATTTTATAAAATTGTTATAATATTATTTTGAGCACAGGAATTGAGTATATTAGAAGTTTAGATTGCAAAACAATCATTCAATAATAAATGTTTTATACTATTATACAATTTATTCATTTTTACAAGTTATTTGAAAAATACTAATGTTTCTATACTTTGTGGTCATTATGAAGACAAACAATATCGATTTCAAATTTTACTTATAGTATTAATAAATTTACAAATTAAATAAATATTACTGAAATAGTTATCTTATTTGATAGGATACTTATACTCAAATAAACTCTCAAATTTCATTTGTTTAGAATCTGAAGATAATATCAATAAATAAAATATTTAATATGTAAAAATTTTAATTCTCATTGTTTATTTAGTGCTCATCTTTAAAATGAATTACTCAAATAAAGTAGTAATAATTAAAATATCTTGATATATTTGTTGACATCCGAGTTCGCCCCCAAAAGAAACCGGACGAGGCAGCTTCGAGAGCCGAACCGGAGACCCGATCTAGCGCGTAGGTGCCGAGCTGGACTCCGAAACTTTTTGACCCTGACACCCCCACGAGTCCATCCGTTAGCCCGGCGTTCGCGACAGTTAAGTTCCGGTGCCGGCCTGATAAGTGACGATCTGGAGGAAGGCTCCCCAGAACCGGAGGAGCAAAAAGGAAACGGGAGCCGACCTGAGGTCTCAGAACGGATTTCCAATGAGGAATGCCGATCTCGATAACAGTACAATAATGCCACTTGGAGAGTAATCATTGGTGATTGGACGGGGCATCCTAGCCTGCTGACCTACATCCTCTAGCCAAGACATAAAGCCTGCCAGCATTAAATGACCCCCATGTGTGCATTAAATGTCTGTCAGGCAATGATGAGGAAAACCTCAAATCGCATTGAATTCTGTCAGGAGGCGCCGGACTGCTCTGCAAGAGCACTGTACGACAAGACCGGTGAACAGTACCTGAATAGTGCCACATTCAAGGCCACTATAAATAGCAGTCCACTTCATTTAATTTTGGGTTGTTGAATCTCAACTGTCTGAACTCTCTACACTTTCTCTCTCTAGACTTGTAAGGAATTCGTATAAAAATCTGTAAGTATATCGCAAGTGCCGACCTCGTACGAGAGGCCGACCTCGTGATCTTTTAATAAAATCGTGACTAAACCGCATCTTCTTGTCTTTTTCTCGTTATCTTTTCATTATTTACCTTTTTAACCGTTGACCGGAAACGTCCGTCAATAATATTTTAGTTAATTATTGAATGAAGAAGTTCAATATTTTAAGTGTTAATAATTAAAATATTACTCACCTTGATATAAACCACCTAATATTCAGGTGACGTTTCATTAAGTCTATAGGCACGGGGACAAAAATTAGAAAAAAAAAAAATAGGATCAAATAAATAAATAATAACATTTTATTTTTTTGATCAAAATTCAGTCCAATAAAACTAAGGTGTAGAGGAGCATAAAATTCGGTTAACCGAGCCGAACCAACCGAAACAAAAAAATTCGTTTGGACCGAATAGAAACCGAATATTTGGTTCAGTTTTCTGTTTACATTTTCTTTTTCGGTTTGATTTGGATAATAGTGATCGGTTGACCGAACCGAACTGAAAACCGATTTATATATACATATACTTATATAAATTATTTATATATATAACCTATAAAAGCATTAATTTGATTCAATGATTTATGATTTTTGAGTTTCAATGACCCCTAAAAGGGCTCAAGTATTAATTTGCACTCAAGTTTGGCTCCTTCATGATCCAAGTCATGGTCCAGTCCGAGATCTTCATTAGAGCAGAATTTAGAATTTATCAAGAAGATTCAACAAGGTGATAAAAAGTCATATTTTTTTTGTTCGGATAAAAAAATCAAATTTTGTTGGGTTAAAAATTCATAATTTATTGAGAAGATTAATTATTTATTGCAGTTAATAGAAAAACAGAACCGATTTGGATTTTCAGTTAAAAATCGAACCAAACCATAAATTTCTCTTTAGTTTTCAATTCATATAATGGATAAACCAAAGTTCCAGTTAACAGAAAATTCGGTCAATCCGCTTCTGTTTCGACCGAATGAGAAGCCCTAATAAGATGAAATTTCTAATTCTAAATTTAAATACATGAGTTTATTTTTCTTACATAATGAAGTAGCTAAATGATTGTTCCACTTTTTTAGTTTGTTAGACTATGTGTATATTTCACCTGTGAATGATTTCGGTAAAATTTTGGCAATCTTCTCTTAATTAAAGTTAAATATGTATATCTGAATTTTTATATACAAGTTAACCCTTAACTAAGTTGTCTTTTTTTTTTTTCCCAAGATTTATCATTTTGTTAAAATTGGAGATAAGTATATAAATAGTTCAAAATATTTAGATTTTTTATAAGTATTTATTATGTTGTTTTTGTTGGATCAGTTTTCTTTAAAGATTTATGAGATATGGAATGCTTTGTTTGTATTTGTATTTAATTTATTAATTTTAGTTATTAATTAAAAATATAAAATAAGATTAATATTAATGTATTACTAATTTATCATTAAAACTATGACAGTGCAAAAGATTTTTAAGTAAAATATTAGTTATTAATTAATAATATAAGATATGACGGGTATCAATGTATTACTAATTTATCATTAAAAAGTATCAATGTAAAATTTTTTTAGGTAGTTCATTTTTATAAAATCACTCGATCTTTTAGAGTAGTATATAGATAAACCAGTTTTTGTGTTATAAAGGTAAAACCCCATGGGTTTTCCCCAGGCCCCAGCGTTGCCCTGTCTGGTATCATAGAGAAGCAAATGTTGTTCAATGTGACAAACTCAGAAAAATAACTCAACTAATGTATTTGAATTTAGCTTAGCAAACACAAGACAGACTCAGAGATCTGATATTAGCATGATCTTTGTATGATCCTACAAAGCATTTGACATCATTCTTAGAATTTGAATTGCCAAAGTGATTGTCTTGCTATTCCTCGTGCTGAAATGCCAAAAGAATTCTGATCTTTCACATTAACCGAGCTGAATTCCTCCGGGCTTGCATTAACAATTGAATGGATTTTACTGCAGCAATAATAGGATGGGTTTTACTGCATTTGTGCAATGGCAATAACAATTTCATGTAACAAGTAAAAGCACGCAAAATACTCATCTCACTAGACTTTACAAGGGTTCAACGTTTGATTAAATCTAGGTTTCTTCTTCATCATCTTTCTTTCTTTCTTTTTTTTTTTTTTTGGAANCTTTTTTTTTCGGTCTGCTCAAGGCCGACTTAATAATAACTACATTACACTTTGTACAAAAGCAAACACACAGACCACCCATTGTAACACCAGCCAAGAATGAGTTGCCGGCCACCTCTAAGGAAAGCCAAAGCCCATATTCTGAACACGAGCACACTATTTTGTACACCGCCCTGTTTTATCCACAAACTCCACTTCTAATTTCATGTTCGTGAGCTCATTGCATGGCGAGTGCATGGTTAGATTGAATATTTCCCCACTGATGGCTCTGTCCAGGCTCTGATGCTGATGTGTCAATGGATTTGGATAAGGCAGCAGCCCCATTTTCTGCAGCCTTAGAATTATCTCCATCGGTTTTCTTTGCAAAACGGCCACCTGAGCCTCTTGCTCTCCTCATGGCATGCTGGTGCCGGGATTCATGGAGATATGGCTGCAAGATTTTAATAAAGTAAATTATTATATTATCAACTAATTGGTTTATCCATGAGGTAAAATTGGAAATTTACTGATTAGAAGAAAAAAAAAATTACCTTTCGAGATTTTATGAGTTTCTTCTCCAGCTCGGCTTTGGCGCGCGATTGACGCCTACGCAGTATACCATGATATTGCTTGGCATTCACGTAAACTGGCTCCTGTGCCACTTCTAGAGGCAGTGGCATCCTCACTTGATGCAAATCATACAACTGAGGGACCTTGATAATTATTTTTTAAATTAAAAAAAAAAAATTAAGAAGAAAAAAATTAGACATCCACCCGGCACTTCAAATTGAACCAGAATAATTCCAATCGAAAAAAGAAAGATGAGACTCAAATTAGGTAACAATGAAACAGAAAATTTCCAGTTAATGTGGCTACCATAGGTTGGCCATAAGCTGTCAGCATTCTCCCATAATATGGATCGTAAGGATTTGAAGCGCAGGCCTGTAGATAAGTGAGAAACACAAATCTCATCATCAGTATTGCTGTAACAGTTCAGAGGGCGAACAAAAGTCAAAACATACAGTGTTTTCATTTCTCATAACAATATACGTACAATTGAGTGGCCAACAAGTTCGAGTTGTGCTGGCTGTGTAAGGCTTCCTACAGGTCCTGGATTTAAGGATTGCTCAACTTGCTGGAGATTCGAATCCTCCGGCCTATAGCTTCTATCTGAAANCAGGTCCTGGATTTAAGGATTGCTCAACTTGCTGGAGATTCGAATCCTCCGGCCTATAGATTCTATCTGAAATGAAAAAAAAAGAAAAAAAAAACATAGTGAAAATCATAGAAGACTGGGAAAAATCCAACAAAAAAGAAACACCATATTTGGATGCAAGCTAATGGACTGAAGCAAAATACCTGAGTGGAGTCGATTAGCGTTGGGTGATTTTTTCTGAGTATTATCTTCCTCATTAACTCCACCTTCAGACAGGGAATGAGCATCCACAGATTGTTCAAGGGATGACGAGTCAGACCCATTTCCACGCATTAATGTATGGGAAAATGAACCATAGCCCGTATTATTCCACCATGGCTCAGGATTTACAGTTGAATTTGCTATATTATAAAGGCTGGATCCTTCTTGATGAACATTTTTAGACTTGGATAGCATACTCCTGCAATTTGTTGGGGGGCAAAAGGAGAGAAAAAATTATTGTAACACTATCCAAAAGGCATGAAATGAAGAAAACCTGAGAAGGCGTATTCGTACAATCATATACTAAATAATGGTGACAACTTATAATCTCATAGATGAACCACGTGAATACAACTAGCCAACTATAACAAGAATACAGCATGTCTCATTTGAGTGTTGCTTTAGCACTCTCCAAGAGTGCCACATACTCAACTTAAGAATATTTCTAAGTCGAGCTTAAATTGAGCATCACTGAATTCAATCAGGCCTTGCAGAAAAATAAGGCACTTTTCTTTTGATATCTTATGCAATACGATTTGGGAGGAAGAAACAGTTGCTCGCAAAAGAAGTATAGCATAAGATTAAGAATAACTGAAAATAACAAGGAAAAAGACAAGAAAAAACTATAACCATCTCCAACTATCGTATGAAGAACACATGCCGACTAAGGGTGTTTTAAAAATAATGGCATGAACAAATACATGTTTCTGCTCATCAAAGGGAATGCTACAAAACACATAAACATTTCATCACACGAGATTTACAATGTATCTGTAACTAATTTCAGCATATGCTATGGGTATATAAGTAATAGACGAACACAATCCAAACAATTCTTTAATAAATGTCAATTTGGAGTAGGACAGCAACTAGCATATCTAACAAAGAAGCCGATTAGCTCTTTTCCGACTATTTTATGCACTTTTTTTGCCAAAATCTAAAGTAGATCCTGATTAACTTCAAGTGATTCAACAAACCAAGGTTTGCACACTAAATAATTAAAATAACTTAAGCACTCAGCATTATACACGAAAAAGGAGGATCTCAAGAACCATATTAGACTTAACTCAGTTTTTGTTTCAAACTTAAACTTCATTTCTTCCACCAATTATATAAATTCAATTCACAACTCCCTTTCAATAACATCATTGAAATTCTCAAATATGAACCCATTTGAACACATTAAAATATTTAATCACCCATAGAAAGTAATAGACCAAGTAACATAAACCAGCAATCAAGAAAACGAAAAACAAAAAAAAAAAAAATTGCTTACCCATCTCATAAAAATCACCAGAAACAAGAACAAAAGGCAACATCAGTATAAACAAAGATAATAGAACAAAAACCCAGATCAGAATACTCATTATACACACATATACTCACATGCAAAGATAAATATACACATGAATATGGAATACAGGCAAAACAATTAGAAAGAGGGAAGGATTTTGAAGATTCCTATGAATGAATAACACAAATTTCCCAAAATTACCAGCTATTGGTGGCTGGCGATGATTAGAACCAAAAACCTAAGGATTACAAATGGTGTCAGAATCTTTCGGGAAAGACTTCAGAGTCAATGCGAATTAGGATGCAGAGTGAGAGACAGGAAAATTCGAAGACTTCTACTGTTCAAGTGCTTTTAGTAGGATCGAGAATAAATTGTTCATTTTGGGGTAATTACTTTCATCTGAAATTTAACTTTGTCACCTATGGAAGCACCTAGAAGGTGTGCACTACCATTTGTAGGACCCGCCTTTACTTCCTCGGACCGCACATCTGTAGTTTTATTAAATTCTACTAGTTTTTCCGTATTTACCAATTACTATTTTGTTAAATTCTTTTATTCT